AAAGATGTCAAACTAATATGATAAGATTGATAACTAAGTTGATAACTAAGTTGATAACTAAGTTGAGCACGAAGCTCCTATCTAATGGCAGACATGCCAGTGTTATATAGAACCTTCTTGCTCATGGATCTGGTTGGATCCTAGGATCCCCAAGATCCATCCAGATCCAAAGATCCATCACGTGACTATAATGAAATCCTTGGATCGCTTAGCTAGTCTAGCCGATCCCTATTCGCTATAAGAGCATGATAGTGCTTAACCTGTCAGGACGCCGCCTGGTCTTCACTCGTCACATGCTAACACGTGATTCGTGACACAATGTTCTACTTCCCGGCTATAGATCGAATCCGGATTTCTAAACTTGAATTATACTTAATTAAGTAATAACTAATATAATAAAAAGCCTAGAATAGCTCTATTATAATTATTATAATATAAGTAATCTCGGCTCTACTATCTAGCTCTAGTATATTCTATAAAAGACGCTAGTCCTATTTCGAACGCTTTTATACTAATAAATATATAGCTCTTATATTAGAGCTATACTACTTACTCTTAGCTAGCTTCTCTTTTTATTCGCTTATTTATTCTACTTTTTATAGGTTATTCTAATAGTCTCCTATTTTATCCCTAAGAGTATTAATACTTCTAGAACTATCTTTATTAGGGTAATAAAACTTACTATAGTAAAATTAAGACTTTAGAATTATTATTATAATATAAGCTCTCGGATCTACTATCTAGTACTAGTTTATTCTATAGAAGGCGCTAGTCCTATTCCGGACTAGGTTTTAGGATACTTCTAGGCTAATAGTAAGCTTCTATATTAGAGCCCTACTCGCCTCTTAGCTAGCTTCTCTTTATATTCTAGCTTATTTATTCTATATTATACTCTCATCTTCTGATATTTATTTCTCGAGAGATTTTATATTCGAGATATATAGGAAATACTACTAGGAAACTAACTATCTATGAATCTTATTTAGTATAGTAAAATATAATATAGTAGTACGGCTTAACTACCTATTTAAATAATACTATTTAGCTTATAGTAAGTATTACCTATAATTTTTCGAATTATAAATATCTTTAGATACTAGTTTTAGTATATATCTATTATATATAAGTTAACTAAGGAATTATTATATAATTAAAAGTATTAAAATAAACTAAGGGCTTAAGTTTTATTCTTCTTATATTAATAGTTTTACTTGGTTAGGTTATTTAGTAAGTATAATCTTTATATAACTTAAATTAATAGAAGGCCTAGAAATAGTAGATTAATAGGAGCTTTCATAGTTAACCGCATTATACTAGTAAGATATAAACTAATCTAAAGTCGAGTTTAGTACTTAAGAATATATATCACTATTACTACTAAAAGATATAAACTATACTACTATAAAGAGATTTACTTAACCTAGTTTAGCGGCTAAGATACCTTCTATAGTTCTCTCCCTAGTACTATGTATTAATATGATAACACTTCTTCTATCTACCGTAAGGCGGATTTAGTAGTTTTACGTTAAGTCTATAGATAAGTATTTAAAAACGGAGGCTTTATGTGGTATCGAAGGTGTAATGTTAAGCTTTCATAAGGCGAGGGGAGTGGACGAATGATAACCTTGGGTGGCATCGCATGCATGTAGTGATGATTCTCTGGTGTATGCATATACAGCTGGTTTAATGATTTCTCGGTTAATAATACTATTCCACTCGGGTGAAAGACATTTTCAAAGCGTAATAGCGATGCTGACGCAGTCGAAGATGAATTCTCTAGCATATTAAAACTATTAGTCACCACTATATCTATAAGAACGAGTGAGTTTGGTATCATTATATACGTCCCCAAGGGGCGACGGGGTCGCTAAGCGAGAACTCACCTCAACCCCTGCCAAGCCCTTCCCAACCAACACCAACAAAACCCATCAGCTCCATCACAAACCCTCCCAAAACCACACATACAAAAGCTATCCTTTACTACACAAATCATCATGACCTCCCCCTTCCCCTACCCCCCACTCCTAGCATCCCAACCCCTCAAATCCCTCTACACCCTCTCCCTCATCCTCACCCTACCCCTCCGCCTCCTCTTCATCCTCCTCATCTACATCCCCCGCCCCCTCCGCCAAAACCCCCGCTGGACATACCACCAAGCAATCGGCCTAGACCTCTTCCTCATCTGGTGGAGCTACACCTCTGCCACGNATCCTCACCCTACCCCTCCGCCTCCTCTTCATCCTCCTCATCTACATCCCCCGCCCCCTCCGCCAAAACCCCCGCTGGACATACCACCAAGCAATCGGCCTAGACCTCTTCCTCATCTGGTGGAGCTACACCTCTGCCACGCGGTACCACACTTCCAAATCGTTTCTCTAAGGGCGTTTAAAAGATCGCTTTATTGTTATGCCCCCCTCTAGCTCACATCCAACAACCTACCAAGGCCCAACCGATGACCCCGTCGTTCGACCAGCCGTAATTGGGGCTGCTTGTTATCCCAAAGCCTACCATCCAGGTCAAGCAACACAGCGTATCACATTACATTTCCACGGTGGCGCATACGTTCTTGGTGGTTGCCGACCTCTAGAAAGCGGCTGGGGCCCCGTCGTCCTATCCCGGCACATGAAAGGACCGGTTTCACAGGTGCAATACAGACTTTCGGTAGACGATGATTCATATTTCCCGGCTGCTCTTCAGGATGGTATAACGGCTTATGCTTATCTTCTTGAGGATCTCGGGATTGCTCCAGAAAATGTGATCCTATCCGGCGAATCCGCAGGCGCCCACCTCGTCCTCTCCATCCTCCGATATCTCACCCACGAAGGGACCGGTACACTGCCCCTCCCCCGCGCAGCCCTCCTCTGGAGTCCATGGGTAAACCTCCTCCCAGACCAAAGGACTCTCGACACACACCCCAGCGCGAGGGGGGATTATACAAAAGGCACCCTCCTAGAATGGGGCGCAAGTCTCTTCACACCACCAGGAGGCGACAGAGGAAGCCCGTATATTTCACCGTTATTACATCCGTTCACGAGTCCCGTTCCGTTGTTTATACAAACGGGGACGCAGGAGGTGTTGTATGGTGACCATGTGCGGTTTGTGGAGACGATGCGAGAGGTGGGGACAAGGGTTGAGATGGTGGAGATTCGAGATGCACCGCATGATACGTTTGGGGCGGGGATGATTTTGGGGTTTGCGAGGGAGGCGGAGGATGCGGCTGAGCGAGCGGCGAGTTTTACTGAGGCTTTGGTGGATGATGGGGGTTGAGGTCGTGGGAGACTTGATTTTGTGTTGAGTAACAGTGTTTTGGTTAGTGTAAACAACAGTGTCTTTTCCATGCCTGATAATGTGTAGGTGTACTAACTTCAGGATATTAGAGTATGTTTAGCGTTAATTCAATATTTCTCAGACATGGGATGATCCGAACTCCGACTTTGTCGTGATATAATCCTACAATGACAGCCACACGACACTTCTACAGTTTTCACCAAAGCACTTCACATGTTATACAACGTTGGCAAAGATAGATGGTAGCACCAATTCCATGAATATTTCTCAGCATCTTTCGAAATCCATAAAGGACGATCAAAAGATCGCTTCCCAATTCGTAAAATGCAAGACGCCCAAAAATTAATGCCCCATGATATAACCTTGCACCGATAACTCCTTCGCGAGGATAAATCTCGATATCACACCACCATTCCATTTCAATTCTCAAAGCTGGCTTCCGTTCGTCACAGCATCAAGATAACTAAGTAAAAATCCTTTGTCCGCAGATGAGATGGGTGTTTGACTACCACGTCTAGCTCCTTCATTGGCAAGACTACCAACTCGTAATCTTGGTGCTGGATTAAGGATGGGTTCTTTTCGACTTCCTATAGAAGTCTCTCCGCCTAGAGGGTTGGGGGATAGTTGGGCTTTCCCGAACAAAGAAAGCAGCGTTTGCTTATGATCCGAAGAGCCCTCCGTCGGCTCATGTTTCTGTATGGTTGGAATAAAAGTTGAGCTTCTCGCTGAAGATTGAACTTGTCTAGGTGTCGTCAAAGCATTAGACGACGGACGTTTCAGTATCTGGGGTTGGAAATTTCCCAAAGGCTGAGGAGAAGGTTGATACCTATCATGCTCGCGAGGAGTGATTTGCTCTGTGTACGATCTTGGTAAAGGCGAGACTTCCGGCTTATTTTTGGGAGAAATCTCATGCTTCTCTCCAACCGGCCGAGAAAGAATGGACATAGCTCTGAAGGGAAGATTGGATTCTGGGTTCAAAAGAGGAACGGACCCGGAACTTATAATGTGATCAGGAGCTCTTTTATCGTTCAACAATGCCGAAGTTGTCGTAGCATTGGTGGAGAGTGGCTCAACGGCTGACAACTCAACTGCGGAGGGCGTTCCATTTGTAGGCAGAGCAGTGGCTTTGAGGGTTATGGCCAAAGAGGCGGCTTGTGATGAGGGACTCTTGAAAATACCAAGCAGAGCAGATTTTTGCGACTCACTGATGGGTTGCCTTGGAGTAAGGGCACCTGGGTCCAGTATGCCAACGTTCTGCTTGAGTACGATCGGTGGAGGGATACCAAAAGATGTAGTGCGACGAGCTTCAACAGCGGGCAATTCTTGTGGTTGGGCTCGTTGTGCAGCCGGAGCTTCTGTAAATCTACGAAGAGGCAACTCGGCCTTGGAGGTCTCGTTGGAAGTGTCTCGACTCTTGAAAGCGTTCAAGAGAGCGAGTGAATGGCTCGTAAGCTTAGTACCTTGGTCATGGTTCTGAGGTGGAACCATTGGCGCGTGTACGTTGGGAAATTGTGGATTTTTCATGTTAGCGTGTTGCGGAGGTTGATGCTGATGATGTTGCTGGATTGGCTGTGGCACCATAGGTGAATGGACAGGGCCTCCAGTAAAGACAGCTCTTTGCACATTGGGTGGTAGAGGTTGAGGATGTATGAGGTGTTGCGGCTGGTAATGATGCATGTTGTTTTGATTCCTTTGGGAATTCTGATGACCACCCCTATGAGCTTGCTGAATTCTCAAATGATTTACATGATGCTCATTTTGGGAAGTCGGTTCATGATATGAAAAGGAATCGTCACGTCGTTGAATAGGAAATTGTGGCGGAGGTGGCATGCTGGAAAACGCCGGTGGCCGAGGCTGATGGCGATGAGGAGTTTTGGGCATCGATGGATTAACATCGATATGCTCCAAAGGAGTGCGAGGAGGTGCATTAGCCGGTATTGGTTGGCTTGTTGTAACGGGCTTGCTATGTAACAAGGCAAGTAATGCTGAGCCTGAGTTGGTTGCGGTTACCGGTGCAATAGCAGCATCCGGTTGCAACCCTTGAGTTGGTGGTTGAATTTTGAGTAGACGATTCAGAGCGGCCTCGGTTCCCTCGATGGTGTTTAACTCTGGTGCTGCTCGAGACTCATATGCAGACGCTTGCGCCGCAGATTCAGCTCCTTGATCCTCTTCTGTCAAGAGATCATCATGACTCATTCCAGCAGAGAGATATTGGTTGCTCGTTGCCCTTTTGGCGTCTTTCTTCTTCTGCTCAATGACCCATTTCCTCAGAGGTACCAAGAACGGGGCTACCATATAAAACTTGCTTGCACTCATCCCAGTATCCGCGTGTTGCTGCTGCCCCTTCTTTCGAAAAGCCGGTAGTTCAGAAAGACGCCACCATTCTATCTTGCTGATTTCCTTACGTGTTCTTGGAGCAAATTTGGTATCCATAGGAACGCCTCGAAAGACGAAAAGTCGCATTTGTTGCTCTCGCATGTTTACCTCAATCGATTTGACATCCCGCCCTTCTGGAACCAACCCTGCAGCACCTAGCTCCAGACCGGTCTCTTCATAGACTTCACGTATAGCACATGTCAAATCATCTTCGTCCTTGGCAATCTTTCCACGGGGAAAACTCCAGCTTGCACCTTTTTTCCAACCTTTTACAAGAACCACAGAGTCCATGGCCTCATTGAGCATTATTGCTCCTCTCACCGGGACCCGTGTCTTATATGCTAGGAAGTCTTCAAATGCTGCCATGTGGTGGCCTTGAGAGAAAGGAGATAGTAAGGGACAATGAGCGAAAATTCGTAGGCAAAAGCTCCGGAGGGACATGGAGGGGAGGGAGGGGTCAAGAGGTCGAATGAAATCCTCGTAGAACCATTGAGCCTCCTCGACCTGAAAACATATTCGCGGAACGTCCTTGAGGTCATCCTCCGGCAGATTGATTATGAAACGGACGCAGAGGTCGTCCAGCCCTACAGCTTATTAGTATAAAATGATTTACTCATAGAGCCTAGATGGTGGGGATGGTGGCATGGAGTAATAGCCATATACGGAAGGGTTTCTGCACTTGTGGCATTTACCCTCCAAGGCTGGATAACATTCCATAGTCTAGAGTCCAGCAGAACACGCAGCAAAACTTACACTCTTCTAAAGTCAAATTTGTTTCGGTCATATTGTTTTGCCAGCATATCGGGACGACGCGTAGTCAACAAGCTGGCAGCGGCTGTGGGAAGCTCTCAAGCTCTCCAGGCTGTGTTGCGCAGTGGCGACGTCTCTCGAATCTGGAACGTGTTCGTCGCAAGTGCTATTGACGGATAGCAGAGTTAGAGATTCCTGACAACGGGGATGATGTCTGAAGGTGGTATGGTGATACGAAGGATCGAGGTAGAGGTGGAAGTTGAGATGTATGGTAGTTCGTGGTTGGAGGTTTGAGGTAATTCCTTCTTTAGTGTAACTTCATGCGTTGCGATTTGGACCCAACCACCTGCCGCGCTCCGATCGCAAGTCCCCGCTTGACTTTTTGGGATGGATGCCTGAAATCACGAATCAGGCTGTCAGGCGCAAACTTTTGCTGAACGCCACAATTCATGCCATGAGCACAGCCACTATTCAGATGCGCCTCCCAGTGGCCTCCCTCTCGCACCTCTCCAGGTTTTTAGCGGGAGGTGCGAGGGTATCCTCGAGGTATCGTCGCCACGGCCCAAAGCTTAATCGCGCAACCCTGTACGTGACACATGACATGCAGCTCGGCGGACAGGCGAGCCAGTCGATCAGTACGTGAATGACGTTCGCTCCAGAGCAGGAAATCAAGAAAAGGAGCGGTCTCTGGCTTTGGCTCAACCAACTTCACTCTCCTACACTACGTGTACTCACATCACACATAAAGACTCAAGTCCGGCCCCTCTTCGAACTCAAAATAATTTCTTCTTCCATCCAACTTTGACTCCCAAACAAAGAGAAGCGCTCGCCAAAAATAGGTCTCCACAAGTACAGTACGGCGGGTTTCGAAACACCGTCGCAATCACCGCCATCCAGTCAAGCTGACTCTGGGCCCTGCACACAAAGCGAATCCACAGCCAACACCACCATCACCTAGTCACAGTCATCGGCTATTGTCACCTCTAAGCGCATTGTTGTTACAGCTTTCTCTGACGTCGAAGGAAAAACTACATAAATCGACTGTATTCCCCTTCCAAATTTATCTACCAATAAATCACTCCACCAACCTGTCCTACCTACACCTATCGCCAACATGACGAGTATGATTGCGAAGTTCGTTGCCAGGAGGATTCTTGGTGAACGCCTCGAGAACAATTATGGAAAAGACGTATGTTACTTATTTTCTTTACTCCGGCCATTTAACTAATTTGTAAAAAGGACCCATACTTTGAAACCGTTCCTGCCACTCGTCTAGATGGTCGTCCATCCAGCAAAAAGGGAAAGAAGAGACCTAAGGCTTTGCCACCTGGTATTTCGGAGCAGGATGGTAAAGTCCTAACCAAAGTTAAGCGTCGCGCATACCGACTAGACATGAGTCTTTTTAATTGCTGCGGAATCGCTTTCGGTTGGTCTAGTGTGATTGGTATAATTCCTGTGTAAGTGGAACTCTTCCTCATGCACTCTCACTTCCAATGCTGATTGATTTCTAGTGTTGGTGATGTGCTCGATGCATTCATGGCCCTCATGGTTCTCCGAACATGCCAGCAAGTCGAAGGAGGTCTACCAAAAGACGTCAACGCAAAAATGATGTTCAACATCATCGTCGATTTCGGCATTGGACTGGTTCCTTTCTTGGGAGATATTGCAGATGCACTGTTCAGAGCCAATACCAAAAACGCCATCGTACTGGAGGAATATCTTAGAAAGAAGGGCGAAAAGAATCTACTTGAGCAAGGTCGCCAACCCCCACGAGATCCCAGCGATCCAGAAATCTTCGATGACCAAGTAAGAGATGAACTTGCACCGCCGCCAAAGTACACTACCCGCCCAAACACTTCTCTACCAATATATACGACGCGCCCAAATACCTCTGTACCAAACCATACGGCCACATCTGATAACAGACAACGCGAAGAAGTTGTCGCTCCACCAACGAGGAGTGGCTGGTTCGGTGGACGATCCAAACAAACCGATGAGGAACAAGCTTTGGAACGAAATGAAGTGCGCAAAGACAGTGCTCGAAGAGAGCAGGCTGGCAGGAGTAGCAGACGCTAAACAAATTTACGAATTGAATGTATGATGAAAATTTGGGCTCTTTGTACAATTGGTTGAGAAATAAGGGGTGTTTAGGTTTAGAGAATGCGGACTGTGTCATTCAAGGATATGGATACTACCTACGGCCTAGAATATTCATGGGTGGTTATTTTCACGTAGCGAGATAGATACCCATAAATCAACAATATTAATGAGAAGAATCATGACTTTTATCTTTTCTCTTTTGCCGGGTGTGCGTTCTTTTTTCTCTCTTGTTGAACTTCATTCACTACTTCGGGACATGGATCGGTGACTACGTCATAAGTCATACTATACGAGGGAACACATCTACATACATTCACTTTAATTCTCGATAGCTCAAGCACAAGAGCATCCAATTCACCTCCCAAAACCCACCTCACATCACCACCTCTCACTTACCCCACCACCTTCAAGTACCCACCCGAGCCACCCCATCATACCCAAACACCCTTCTTATCCCTCACGTCTCCAATCCCCTTCCAACCTCCCCTTCCACCTTGCCTTCCAAAAAGTCGAGATCCAAGAGATACTACGAAGACTCATCAGAGCAACCAGCCTTTTTTCAAGAAGGTCAACACACCGTGTGCACACACAACGAACCATCGAAATCGCTGGGTACTGTGCATACAAATTTGGGGGAAGAGGGGTTTCTGGGTTGTGTTATAGTTTTGTGTGATTGTGGGTGGTTTATGTAAGATTATACTAGGCTAGTCTAGGTGTGATCTCTAAGAAGCTAGAGATTACGGAGAGTTCGATAACTACGTATCTTACAGCTTTGAATATGAAGGCTAGGCTGAAGTTATGTAGGAGTGTGTGAGTGGATAAGGGTTTGGGAGGCGATGGGGGCTTCGAGTCCCTTTTCTGGCTTGATTGTTGGGGTATGATGTTTTGAAGGGTTGGATTCGTTTTGGGAATAGTTTGTAGGGAGGGTTGTTGGGAGGGATGAGTGAATGTGTGTATGTTGTTTGGATGGCTGGATCGCTTGGGTTCAGGGATTTTGAAGAGGGGTATAAGTGGTTTTTTGAAAGAGGATTGAGGGATTGGTGGGGGACGGGTGGGGGTTGTATTGGATGGGAGTGATGTAGTATGTGGTATACGCGAGGTGATAGACGAGAGATCTCATTTTTTGGGGGGGATTAGGAAATTGAAATACAGAAAGTGGTATCTCGCTAGACGTATATGTTAGTTACTACGAAGGTAATCTAGAAAATGAGATTTATTCATATCTTTCAAAAGAACCTTGAAAGTATTGCACAACTACCTATCGTGATATTACGCGAGACCCATATTTCCGGTTACCTTGGCTGCCCACCTCACGCACTATAGGAGTGTACATAATTATTTGACAATCCACAGGGCTTTTTGTAGGGAACTCTTCGACCAGCGTGAGAACGAATTGCTCACTTATTCAATTAGTAATTGACTAAATCATGATTAAATAGATTAGATTTAGATTAGGAACTTTAGGTGATTAAATAGATTAAGAGGCGTTTATTTAATCTAATTAATTAGATTAATAGTATATATTTTAAAGTACTACTAATATAATTAGAGAGGCTTTTAAAAGACTAATGAAGAGATAAAACAAAAGAAAAGATTTAGTAGATAATAACTCAGTCTTTAAAGACTAATGTGACGGTTCTAACCGTCACCACCATTCGGATCACGTGGTCTCGCTTAGCGACCCACACCAAGTATTTAGATCGAAGCTCTCTCGAGCTCTCCTCTTCTCCTCAGCTTAGAATCTTTGTTTAATTGACAGTTCTACGATTCCACAACCTACACCGTGGGCCTTGCGTACGTGTCGTCACATTATTCTAAGCTCTCTCACACTGCCTGGGAAGGCATACTGAATATCCCTT